GACCTGAAGCTGGGGAAGATGCTCTTCCCTCTCCTCTCAGATTTCCCATCAGGGCAGCTATATCCCTGCGCTACCTTCCAGTTTTGGGGCTGGAAGAGTGGACAGGACCCTAAATGTTGGCAGTAGCAGTCATATGTGGACGGCACCTCAGTTGCTCTTAAGTTATTCTGCGGGTGTTTCGATGCATTTTAGTTTCCTAAATAAAAATAAATTAATACTTTATTCCTTTCTGTTATAAAATGCCCACTTTATAAAGAAGTGTCATAATGCTAAGGCTATATATTCTTAGAAAAGAACTGTTTACTACCAAAAATTAATTTATTTTTGTAATATATAACTGATAAATATTAAGGGTGTCTGACGGAAAAAAAGACTTTTTTTTTTTAACTCTAAGAAAATCAGAAAGTCAGTAATCAGAAAAGACAACCATAAATTGTTTCAAAGCCTTCAAAAGTGCAGAAAGAAAGGTCAAGCTTTTGCATTTTCACAAAGTTTTTCAGGTTTATAAAAAAATGACTTTTAAACTTGGCTATTAATGGCTAGGTTCGAAGGGGGAAGGGGACAAAACCGGGCTTGCTAGAGATGAGCCGAGGGGTGGCGTGCCGATGCCGGGGGTGAAATCGATAGCCCAGCTCAAGTGCATCTACACCAATGCACGCAGCATGGGCGGCAAGCAGGAGGAAGATGAGGCGCTTAGGGACATGGTTTAGTGGGCATGGTGGTGTTGGGTTGATGGTTGGACTCGATGATCTTGGAGGTCTCTTCCAACCTTAATGATTCTATGATTCTATGATTCTAATCATCTACAGCAAGTCTTTCAATTTGCAAACAAATTCCCCTCTTTCACCCAAGGAAACTGAAATTATTCAAACATTTCATGAATAAAAATAATGTGCAAGAAGACACTTTTACTGTTTTCCAAAGGAGATGTGTTCATCCAGAGCAAAGATATTTATACAATAAATACCAATACAGGTATTTAATCTGAGATACACAGCACTCGGATGGGTGTAAGGCATACAGCTATGTTTAAGCAGCATCCCGTGTTCAGTTTTGGGCCCCTCACTACAAGCAAGACATTGAGGTGCTGGAGCACGTGCAAAGAAGGGCAACGAAGCTGGTGAAGGGTCTAGAGAACAGGTCTTATGAGGAGCGGCTGAGGGAACTGGGGTTGTTTAGCCTGGAGAAAAGGAGGCTGAGGGGAGACCTTATCACTCTCTACAACTACCTGAAAGGAGGTTGTAGTCAAGTGGGCGTTGGTCTCTTCTCCCAGGTAACAAGCAATAGGACAAGAGGAAATGGCCTCAAGTTGCTCCAGAAGAGGTTTAGATTGGATATTAGGAAAAATTTCTTCACTGAAAGGGTTGTCAAGCATTGGAACAGGCTGCCCAGGGAAGTGGTGGAGTCACCATCCCTGAAGGTATTTAAAAGACGTGTAGACTTGGTGCTTAGGGACATGGTTCAGTGGTGGACTTGGCAGTGATAGGTTAATGGTTGGACTTGATGATCTTAAAGGTCTTTTCCAACCTAAACAATTCTATGATCTTTTCCAACTACATTAATCCTCCAATATTTAAACATAAACACGTTGATTTTGTTTACCAAAATATGGCACAGTGAAACTATTTTGCCACTGGTTCAATACTGTTAAGCAATGGAGCTGTGAGCATGCACACCAGAGGTCAGAGGTATTGGGCAACAGTTTTTTTTAGGAAGGAGAAGCTCAGGGCATAATGCCTGAAGTGTCAGAGGGAAGTCAAGAAGGGCTTTTTCAACTGAAGAAAAATATGAAAAAGCAGACACTAAGGAAGAAAAATTAGGAAAACATTGGGGACAGTATTAAAAATGTCATTATCAAACTTCTAGGCTCTAGTGCTATGTGCTGCCTCTCGCATCCCAGACACACAGCAAACATGGGATGATATGCACCACCCTACAAAAAAAAAAAAAAAGATTAAAATTTTTTCTCTGTACAGAGTAACTGATGAATTTGGGTCCTTCATGCCTTGCACACCATAAGCACCGTTAACCCTTGCTTCCCCACCTCTCCCAAACAGCTACTCCCTGCCAATAGCTTAGTTTATGTGAAGCAGAGGCTGAGCTGACCACAAACCCCTGCATTTATTTTGACTCAACATCCACTAATTTAAATCTTTCTTCCCATCCTACCCCGTAATTTGGATGAATGTCTCAGGAACTTTGCATCAAATGAGTTTTGGGCAAGCAATTGCAAATGATTTGAGAGGACTGTCCTACTGGCAGACATAAGCCTCATCTCCTTAAGACACCAAGCTACCAAAACCCAAGTAAAACAAGAATGAAGTCTCGAGGTGCAGAAACATACTACTTGTTGTCTCACACATTATGTTTGGCAAGCATGAGGATAAACAACGCAGAGATGGCATTACAACCAAACTAAATCAACCTCTGTGCTGGAAGGGATGCTCAGCTTCCCACCGTGGTGAAAATCACTGCAGTCGTTACCTAACGGTTTGAGATATGTTAATAAAGTCAGCTATACATTACACTGATGCTTGTTAATATGTAATGTTGAGAAATATTAATATAATTTAAAAAATGTAATGGAAGAAGACAGAAGGGTCAGGTTTAGGTGCTGGGAAAAGCTGTGCCAGGGTCTAGCAGTGATTCCTAACTCTAGGGGCTGCGGCTAGAGGTGCAACCTAAAGCTGCTTTGAGATTGGTGTCAACTGCAATGATCTACAGCTGGAGAAAGCTTCATCTCCAGAACAAGGGCCTGGAAGCAGGGTAAATTATGGCCCTAGAAAGCTAATTCCTGGGAGAAGATTTCTTAGCAAAAACACAGCATATCAGTAGCTTGGGTTTGAATGCGCTAAAACTGAACTCAATAGACTTGTTTCTACTCCCAAGCATATGAATTATGAGCAATTTCATTGATGGGAGTGATCTTGCACAAGTCAGAAGCCACTGCAAGTCAAAAGGAAATTCCGCTGGGTTTTGTTAATTCTCCAGTTATCCAAGAAACTTGTTGGACTATTTCTACCAATTCTAGAAATGAAATTGTATCAAACACTGACCTTTTTTCTTCCCCACTGTCTTTATAATGCCATTTCCAAGTTTGATTTGGGTAACGGGCAATTAAACCAGCTTTTTTTTCTTACTTCTGGATTTTAAATAATTTCTAAAAACTGTTAGCTAAAGAATGTAGGACAGAAGTGTTGCATTATTCACAGCACTGTATCGAAAGAAAAACTGCATGAAATCTTGACATTAAGAAAGCAATTTTTTCCCCCTACCTCAAACTGTGCCAACCAGTCACTTTTATCCAATCCTTGTTACAGCAACAGAGAGGATAATATGACGCTTAGTTTCAATACATTGGATACTGCTAAATACAAAACACATAATATCATAGTAGACTGATTTTTTTTAGTTTATGTAAAACATGGTATGTTAAATCAAAGACAAATCCAGAGGGAATAACAAGGGTGATTCAAAGTAGGAAACCGGGAGCCATATCCCAGTACCGACTTGGACAACCAACCCCTTTTGCCATAGCATCCACCCTAAGGGTACAGAGTTATCCCTACAAATGCTGCTTTCATCCCTCATTTCTTCATTGATGTTTGTTATGATTTTTTTTCCCCTGCCATGAAACTTTAAGTGTCCCTGGAAAAGTTTTATTGACTTTATTCTTTTTCTTAACTCTTGATAAGGAGTTTAATGCTGGTTATGTGATCCAAGCAAATTAAACTATCTGTTTCTGATTAGGCATGCAGTTTTGAGATATGCTATGAATTAAATTTGCCTATCGAGTTAATATGCCTTTTCTCTCTAAATCTGAACACTTCTCCAACAGTAAAGGAAATAAAGCTTATCTATGAATATACAATTATTCTGTATGACAAACAACTGATTTGTTTGGATTACAAAATTTATCTGTATACTAAATGAAAAGGCAAAGAATTAACAATGTCCTATCAATGCTCTGGGGGGCGGGGGGGAATCAACTTAAATGTCAGCAGCGCTGTTTCTTAAAATCAATGGCAGAGGTGGTACACATGAACATTTTTCTATAAACAGAGTTATTAGGGTTGCTCATGATGGCAAGGCATGTATGAGGAAAAACCAACAAGGAATGACATAAAATACTGTTGTACACAGATTTCCTGCAGTTAAATCATACATGGCTACATTTTGAAAGGTTTTATTAACAGTTTCTGTAATATTTTATCACATGCAATTCTGCAGGCCCAGAACAGAGTGCTATGTGAATAAACTATGTAGACAAACTGCCTGCAATGCAACTCAAATATTTTACACCCATTTTACATGTTCACTTATAGGGCAAGGTTGGGGTTTTTGGCTTGTTTTGGGGGGGTGGGGTTGTTTTTTGGGGTAGGGTGCGGGTTTTTTTTTTTTTGGTTGGTTGGGGGGGGTTGTGTTTGTTGTTGGGTTTTTTTTGTTGTTGTTGTTGTTCATCTGTGGGTTTTGTTTTTTTAAAATAAAGACTCATTAAAAGCCTGACGCTAATGAGATACTAGTTATAGCCAGGTAGGCAAAGCACAACTCCATCTGGACCATCAAATATCTCAACATTATTACATCGCCCCTCTCTTCTGCAACTCTTACAGGAGCAGCTTTCCATGACACTTCCTTTAAGGCATGATACTGCTGTCTAACATAAGCGTCCCATCAAATTTGAAAGGAGGTAGTATTTTCACATCCCCCCTTCACCACCACTGAAACAGGGGCAAGAGAGGTGGTTTCCCTTCACACCGCAGGAAACGATTGTTTTGCTCCCCAATTGGATAGAAATCCAATTTAAAATATGTAAGCTCTGTTCAAAACTGGATTCATTTTTCACACAGCTCCTCTCGCTGTCTCGATGTGCTGGAACAGTCAGCTGTAACTGGGAGCAAAACAGTGAAGCTGTTCTTTCAGAAAAAAGAGCTTGGATATTGACACCAGAAGGCTCGCAAACTCTGAACTCGTTAGCTCTCAAAATTAAAAGCACTTACCTCTTCAAGGACATCTGCAAGCTTACTAAGTATCTCCTCAGGAAGGCTCTGGAATGTGGGAACACTGCAATACAAGAGAAACCTCAATTAATGGATCCCTCTATACAGGTCATAAATCTAGCTGCATTTCTCTCATCTATCTTCCAGAGTTATTTTGCCCTCATCATCTGGGGCAGAGGGCAAGCGTTCACCAGAAAAGCGGCATATATAATGGAAATCTGATCTTCTAGCAGCCAGGATGGATTTTGTGATGATGAGAGACCACTTGCAGTAAACATCTGGAGAACCACTCATAAAGCTGGTAATCAACTAAGAATCAGTTGAGGATTTACTGAAATTAATCTGCACCACAAGCCTGCTCAGTCACATGTATGACACTGCAATTTTTTTTCCTGGTCTGCTTCCATCCCACCAGAAAGAAATAATTAAAAAAAAAAAAAAAGAGGGGGAGAAAAGATCAGCTCTAACCAGCAACAGATAAAAGATTGACTGAAACCACAAGCAGGCATAACAAATGCAGAGCACAAAGCCACGAAGGGTACAGGGTCAGCAACAAAACAGCATTGAAGGACTGTTAGAATTATTGAAGACTTCATCAGGAATTTTACATCCAAGTGTGTTTGTTTTCTTTTGCCAAAAAGGCAACTTTTCCTCTTGTTTGGTAGCATTGCCCTCTGCAACGGTCTCCCAGGCCAGGCTGGACCTGCTGGTTGAGGTGAGAGGGCAATGAAGCAATAAAGAGCCCACTCGCCCAGGGTCCACAGGACTGAGATTTAATTCAGTCTGAATCAGGATGAGGGATATGAAGTTGGGTCTCCAAAGCTGCAAGTAACCCTGACCTGTATCTTCACTACCTTATAGGCTGCCCAGCAAGGTTTTGGAGTTTCCCTCCTCAGAGATATTCAAAAGCCATCTGGACATGGTCCTGGGCAACCACCTCTAGGTGGCCCTACTTAAACAGTGGGGTTGGACCAGATGGCCTCCAGAGGTCCCTCCCAACCTCAGTCAATCTGTGATTCTGCAATACCTTGGTGTCTCATTCTCTGTTTTCCATAAAAACTTGATGTTCATCAATATTCCCAAGCGATGCTAAACAAAACACATAGACACAACATACATTCCAGAGGCAGGAAAGCAGCACTGTACCTGCTTTAATTAAAAACACTTGTCATCAGCAGACTAATTAGCAATGCATCTACATGAAATATTAGCCCAAGCCTAGCACTGAGCTGATACAGCTCTACCAAGGCTATTTCCAAGAACAGTTCACTCAAGAGTAGCTTTATCACGGTCCATTACATGGTGTAAGCATAGTCCTATGCTCCTAATATTAAATTGAGTTCCCCAACGCGTTGCTCTGATTTCAGGAACATTGATGATCAGGTGCAAAGCAAGGAGGGAGGGGGCCGTTGGGAGGAGTTCCCTGCTGAGAGGTAAATATAACCCAAAACAAATCATGTTTTTCCTTTCACACAGGGTTTCACTTTTTACTTTGGATCACACAAAGGCATAAAAGTTATTCTCCACATTTTGGGGAGCTAAAAAACCCAAACCAAACCCATACATTTTTTGCAATCCTGAACTCTGGAGAGCAAGTCCTGGCATGTGCCTTTTGGGTAATCATCCCACCTATGTTTCATGAGCCCTAAACACTTTCTGGATGCACAATTTGGTGGCTGCTTCTGCACCCAGAGAAAACCCACCCAAAAAAGCAAAGGGAGGTCTGAAGACCTTACAGAGGGTTTGATAGCAAACCCCAGTATTTTGTCTGGGGCCAAGCATGAAGTGCCTGGTGAACTTAATATGTGAGCACAGTTAAAGCAGAATTTGCTTTTATTAGCTTAAACATACGCTATGCTGCAGTGGAATTAGAAAGTTTGGAAGCCTTCATTATTTGTTTTAAAAAAAACCCAGAACTTCAGCTGAATTTGTTAATTGGTAACAAGACAGAACTGGCCAACTAAGTGCAGAAAAATGATTATTCATGCTCTCAGTAACATCTTTTGTTTTTTCCTTAGGAAGCACTCTTTTTCACCGAAAACACATGGGTCCACAATGTAACAAGAGCAAACAGAAACAGCTTGAAAGGAATTATATGATGACTAGGCCTAAGTATAAAATCAAAGTTCATTATACCAACTCTAGCATTCCCAAATGAGGAATAAACTGGTGGGAGAAGATAATACTCCCAGACATCTGGACAAATTTTACTGTGGTTGCACCATTACACTCCCAAATTGGGGGAGAATGCATCACAGCATATTTTTTACAGATAATTATGTCTGTGCAATCCAAGGGAGGGTAGCAGAAGACATTTATTATAGACCAAGTACAGGAGAAACAGAGAAATAGCATATGAGGTCTGAACAAATCCTAAATCTTACTATTGAAAACTTAGGATATTAAGTAAAGAAAGAAAATTTCCTAAGATAAATGCTTACAACTTTAACACAGCAATAGAGCAGATAATGGGAAAATCAACTTGTTGATAAAACAAACTCCAATTACATGACATCACAGAATTACACAATTAATATGTGTGTATACAAATACAAATAATACATATATATTAATAATTTATGGTGGTTTATGATGGGCCAGTATCATTCTAAACAGCTAGAAACAACAATACAGCCAAATTATATTTGAGTCTCATGAGAAGAGGTTTTACAAGACTGCCCATCACTTTAGTACCAAAAAACCTGTACTCAACAAATGCTTTTATAAAATAGCAGAGAGAAAACATTTATTGACCTGTTAAAATATGTCACAAATTCAGGCCAACAGAGCTGATGATAACACTGATAGCAGAACAAGATTTGAAAACATGCTCAAGTGCATAAGAGGGCATTGAATGCTTGGCTTGATTCTCCAGGTCAATAAAAATAGAGCCCCACTCTCTCCATGACAACATTAAACAGATTCGTAAAATAGATTCTTGCTTTCCCCCCAAATCTGCCTGTATTATTTAAAGATTTGCATAAAAAGATCAATGTTTTGGAGATTATTTCCATGTGGGTACCTGCACTCAAAGGAAAATGGAGCCTCAGCTCTAAAGGGAGAGCTTAAGAGGAAAACAGCTGAGCAGCAGATTGCTGCAAGTGGGAAAACATATGCTAGGAAGACAAACAGGAGCAGAAGACTCAAAGGAAATCTTTGAAGATGTTGCAGCACAGCAACAGTTAAGAAAAATATTTCATCTTCCACAGCTTTGTGAAATTTGTGAAGAAGTCTGAAAATACACGAGAGAACATTTAGCAGTTGAGTTTGGATGTATTCGTTATTTATGATAGAAGAAATCCCAGCAAATACAGCTTAATCTCATCAAGAAATTACTTGCTCTGTCCCTAACAAAGCAGGATCAAGTAAACCCAGACTTTCTCTGACGAGTTCTTCTCCAACTGCTTCTTAAAACCCATCAATAATGAAGATTTTAAAAAATCCATGTCATCTACTCTAGATAGTAACAGTTGCTACAGGTAGAAAAAAAAGTATTCTGATATCTAACGTCAAAGTCTCTCAGCAAAGTTTAAAACTCATTACTCTCTCCTACCTGCAGCACACCTGAAGGACTTCATCACACTTCTCTCCATAACCATCCCCCACTTTGCCTAGGAACTATGTCTAGTAGACTAAGCACCAGCAACTTGCTCAGCCTTTCCTAGTAAGCTGTGTTTCCTACAAGTCTGGTTACCCAGTCCTCCTGTGGACTCTCTCCAGCTGCTTCTTATTCCATATAACAAGGGGAAATTTCTCTACCTGAACTGACTATAGTATTGAGAAGTTGCCCTGAAAGGGAAAGATCTGCACTCCAACATACCCATGCTAAGGTGGGAACCCCATCTTGTTCATCCTGGGTGAATGCCTTAATCACTCCTGGGCCAGAGAGAAGATGACCAGGGCTTTCTCTGCTGCCTAATCCTTTAAACATATTTTGAGAGAAACTGGTTAAGCACTTAATTGCAGAAAAGGCTCCAGCTCTGCTACAATTTCCCCCACTGAAACGGTGATCAGCACTACACCACCTAACACCTCTAACACTGATTATTAAAAAAAAAACCCCACCCCTGTGTGATAAGGTTATGGAATAAAGCTGGATATGGAATAGAGATGCTTTCACAACTGCCAGTCTACTCACCTGCAGCCTCCCCCTGCTCTTCAAAGTTATTTATGGTGATACGGGTGTTAAAAAGTATTTCGACCAAACTATTTATGTCTATTTTATACGCCCCCTTTGCAGAAGTACAGTCCAAGGTCCACATGAAGAGATGCCTCCAGGCCACCCTACAAAGGTGTGTAGCACACAACAAGGCAAACCAGATCCATAACTTAAGGAAATTGAGTTTTAACAGCAAATGCCAATAAAACTGATTATTTTTTTTAATCAATCCACAAACAGCACAATGCTTTATCACAAAAGATATATGACTACCACCAGGGGTAAGAGGATGAGGAGCAACCTCTGACCTTCTCCAGTCTCCCTGCCCCAAGCCTCGTTAGACTCTCCTTTGAGAGAGTTTCTTCTCATGAAAAGGAGAAGTAGCTGCACTGGTGGAGGAGCTGCTCACGCTGGCAAGGAGAGGTGACTTTTTGATGGCTATATTCTACACTATTCAGCTACAGAATGTTTTGTAGGCGATATAGCTGGTGAGGGCACCATTGGGAATTGCTTGCTGTCTGCAGGAATGGCAGAGCAGCTATTCCGGTTGGCTCTGAAAGCGACACGTTTTCACAGAGAGCTCAACATGCTGAACAGAGGCTGCCAAAATAGGGGAAAACAGCTGTGCCAAAATGTCCACGTTGAATCTCTGTCCCAATACAAAAGCAAAGACGTGGCCAACCTGAAGGTGGTGGAAGGAGGCGTGAAAGTTCAGGTTTCCATCCCTGGTTATCTGCTCTTGACTTTTAGGTAGAAGCAACATCCCCCATTAGCAATGCTTTGATTCATCCTTTTGATTCATCCCATGGGATTACTCCTGTACTAAACCAGCAAGGGCTTCCAAATAATCCTGGCTGTAACCCAGGGGGTTGATTTTACCCTAAAATATACTCGGTGGCCCAGAT